AGTCCTCGCTGGTGGTTGAGTTGCAAGGCGACGGAGTGGCGGCGATGGACGACGCCGGCGATGAGCACGCACTGTCGCACGGACTGATGGGCAGTTCGTCGTGGCGGCTGTCGGTCTCCGAACGCGGTTCGTCCCGTTCTTCTCCCATTCTGTCAATCACAAATTTAAGAAAAGAACACTTATTAATCACTCTTATTCTAGTGAACTTCTACTTCTAAACTTATACGACAAATTCGAAAAAAAAAACCCAAAATTTTAGGTTAATGCAACTCAAATATCATCAATGAATGAAGTTGATGCCACACAATTTAGAAAGAGTAATGTTTCCAATTTTTCTGGAAACGGCGGAAAAATGTCCGTAAACTCGAGACATTATTGTCTCTAAATTGGGGTAGCTTTTCTTTTCAGTTTCAAGTGTCCCCAAGTCGGATCGCCCGTAAATCGTTGTCCCGCGGATCAGAAAAGCCGTACTCACATTTTCACTAGCTTCAAAAACAGTGGGTGAAAACGAAAAGCACCTTCCAGAAAGACGAAAAGCGCGATTTCAAAGAAGCGTCTCACAGACGCTTGACCCGAATTTCCCGACACTTCGCACTTCCACAACCTCTTCCTGCGAACAAAAGGGAGTAAACAATGTTTTTAAATAAATAAATAAAAACTCAATGGCCGTAACGACAACGAGTCACAACAAAATTTAAATAACAAGAAGCACCACTGTTCTCAAGATGCCTCTCTCAACACGACTGAAATGCACGATTTTCCCTCAACAAAAAAACAAAAACAATTCTAAGCATTTTCGACCTCAAACAAAAAATTCCCGGTGTAACGTTCTCGAGTCTTGGGACACAATTCAACGACCTCAAGTCCCAAAAGTAACCTTGTGTTCTGACAACTACGTCCGTCACCACAGCCGAGTCGAATTTTCAAAAACAAAACAACCAAACGAGCCAAATAACGCGCTTGCACTTGGAAAATCTTGAAAGTGCTGACTGGCCAACACCGGGTCTGTCCAACATAGGAACACGGCACAAGCACATGCACAGTGCATCATCAGACTTCTGAAACTACAAATGTTTTCCGAAATTCAGACTCACGTTACATACAGGACTTATTTATTTCTTGTAATGCAAGTCGCTAGAACTCATAATGAAACGTCATGTAATGTTTGGGTTAGTATAATGTAGACAGGGTGTGAAAAGAAAAGATTAACGCATATTAAATCTTACTGCCAAAACAAATAAGATTTTGATGCTTCCACTGATCATAAAATATCACGTTTGCTCAACACAAAAAGAGGGAACCGCATAAATGAATCTAGAATCATCAAAGAATCTTGATTGATTTAATATAAAGAATAAAAAGATTTAAAAGCGAGATTCAGTGTATTATTAAACTTTACCAGATTTGAATAATACAGTACCAATGATACACAGCCTTACAAATAATACGAAGATTTCGCAGTGGAAAACCGACCATTTCATTGTTTCGTTGGGAATGTAGTTCGGTGATCGTTACTAAGAATAGTTCTTCGGTGTGACTTGAACTATAAAATACTCAGGGGGCCA